AACTGCATCAAGGACAGTGTTGTGTTAAAAAAGTAGCATTTGGCAATTTACAGGAAGATCAGCGCATCTTTCCCTGCGTAACACATCTGACCATTTATTTCTCCCTCAACTGGAAAACGGTAACATTAATAAAACGTGACGCATATGACATACCGAATGTAATTGTGTTGGTTAAATCACTCGCGCAATTGTTAAATGTTAACTATTGGTACGCTCTTTGTAAAGACATGTATGGCTTGTGTTTTGTACGATCTTGAAAATGAGACTTCATTTTCATATTTTTGTCGTTTTCTTACAAAATAGAGAAATAACCTTAAAACAATAAGGCCAGCATTGGCCACTGTTATGTCAAAGGTTCCGATGCAATTTAAACACAAAACTTAAGATATCTAAATTCAACAGTAATATAAATATGGGGGTGTCTGCATTAAAATTATGACAAAGTATATGTCCTTGAAATGTACGTTTTAATAAAAGAGCTGTAGTTTCCTGCTAAATATTTTAATGCACTGTGTTTTCACAAACTGCGTGGTTACGGAGTTTACGGGCGGGTTTGCAGGTGTTCAAAAGAATTCAGAAAACGGCACTCCAACACGATACGCTACAGCTATGGAAAATGTAAATATTCTAATCCTTCGCTTTACTAATCTACCGACACTTAATACACTGTGACAATAAACCCGTAAAGGAAATCTACACCAGACACAAAATAGCTATAGCTCTAGGGGATGATGCAATTGTCAAGCTTCGCATTCATTGGGCAACATTTCAGGCAATAGACCCTTCTTCAGAGCACTATGTCGATAATTATAAAAAAAAATTATTTTAAGGCAGTTTTGTTGCAGAGTGTGTCGATTTTTTTCATTGTGCTTGGGGCACCACCGCCAAAACAGAAATCCCAAATAATTTGAATTAATTAGGATACCGTTTCGCTCAAAGCACTGTGATTGTCTAGACAGGAAAGATGCACTTGCATGTGCACGCGATCTGTGCAAAGCCTGGGGGCTTATTGTTGACACAATCATTTCCACTGTGCAGTATAAATGAATGGTGTTAATTACTGATATGGGTGGCGCAGGCAGATTTAACACACATGCAACAACACAACATGCCATGATGCACTTCTAACATCCCAAACGATGGAATTACTGGGGATAACACTGAAAATATTTTTTTTTACGATTAGTTCTACACTCAACATGTGAAAAAAATCGCATGCCATTGTATTCCGGTGGTACATCCTTAAGTGTGTATAATCGGTTTTATTTGAAAAACAGACATTCCCAATTACAGACTGCTTCAATACAGCTCCCAAAATACCCCGCTTGAAATAAAAGCTTTTGAATAATCGTTTGTAGCACGATGGCCATTCTACAGTAAAAGCCTCAATTACCATCCAAGCTGGTGCTTTTAAAGTGCTTCTTTAGCAACGTTCAGACCATTATGTATATTGTTTCAAAGAACTGTAACCCCTCTCAATGCCCAAGCATTGCACTTTATACTAAAAATAAAACCGTTGTTCAAATTTAAACACCCAGCGGCCTTGGTAGCGTTATGAGCACAACGCAGCACATTACTCTCTGCGATGCTAATTGATGAGTGTCAAAGATAATCTAGCGTAAATGCTGTAACAAAAAGATATATTGTTTTCCCTTTATGCAAGAACTTACATTTAATTAATCCGCACGCAACTTTGTCACACAATTGTGGCTATTCATGAACGTGGTGCTGCTGCCCTTGTGCTGAAAAATATGGTAAAGCATCATTTGTATGAGATAAAAAAAAACTGACTCGAATGACCGAGGTGCAAGCGACACCTCTCATACATATGCAAGCAGGTGACTAAGTGTTAAGTTGGTCTCTGAAACACTGCCATGTAACGCGAATTGCATTTAATAGGCTTGCCAGTATGGGCAGGTCCCAATAATACCCAACGCCACAGTTAAAGTACTCAACTACTTCAATTATTCGAGATACCGAGGCTCAAAGTACTGTACAGTTCCAAATCGTCTTTGCCTAACATTCATCACGTTCAATGTATTAAAAGAAACTTCCTGTATGGAATACTTTCGTAGCAGGTAAGACGAATACAAACCCCCAATATTATGCTTAACCAGCGTGTAAATATGCACTTCGCTTTCTTGCATTTATAAAGCTAACCGATGGTCAACTAAAATGTCGGAGTCAACGTCCCACTAGGGGTACATTGCTGGAACTGAAAAGCAATTGGTCTAAGGCTTGAGTGTCTTCCTTGGGTAGAGGATAATGGGGGTTAAAGGCCCTGTCTTCATGGTCACTAAAATAGTCTCCTGAAACAGTTGTTCTGTTTGCCTGTCATCACTAATGAGCGAACGTTTTGCCGTACACCTGCTCAAGAGTTGTATACGTACAACATAAAACAAGTGTCTGTATGCATACAGTTAAAACCATGTGTGACATATCCTATAGGTTTTTTTGAAGATTGCAATACAGTACTTCCTAAGTCATTAACAACGTTGCTGCTAAAATCAGAACCCCCCCCCCAAAAAAAAAAAAGTGCACGGCACGTCCAAGACAATCCATTCATCTCAGACTGCTGCCGAAATGTCTTGACAGTGGACTAGTGGAGTATCTTTCATTAATAAACATCGTCAATATCACCGGCTACTTTTCTGACAATATTTATTAGAACGGCAACTTTCTTATAAATATTAAATCAGGTGGGGAAGCGGCCAACGGCTCCACATTAATAAATGCATTAACCATCAGATGCATTAACTCCCCTAAGGCACTACAGTAGTGTACACGCAGTGGGTAAGTGGGTCATGCGTCCATAGCAAGTCTCCGCTAAGATCACGGAGACCCACGCACAATTGACCAAATGACAATAACAAAGGGTGAACATTAGGCCATCATGGGGCAGTGCTGGGCCCGATGCACCACTTTAACTTGGCTACATGGTTTAAACAAGAAAAAAAATTTCGAGTTACGGTTGTTGAGATGGCTATGTTGGGCTGTCCATTAGGCTACGAATAAAATGTAAAACTCTAACAAAGGCAAGTAAAATTTGGCACTATTTGTTTGGCGTCATATAGGTCCATCAAGCCGTGCGAGATAAGCTGGTGTGTTGCTTGCAAATGGTTACAAGGTTACATTGTAACGTGGGTAGCAATCCCTCTGTTATGGCTGTCAAGATGTTTCATTTAAAAGTGATGCACAACGCACTTCTTCAGACTTGGCTTGAAGTATACGTGATGCAGTAGGGGTGGCGAGACCATGAGCGTACATGAGTGTATATTTCTGGTAGTGGTATTCTCGTGTGTTAAATCGCCCGTGGATTTCACACTTCTCTCACTCCGTCAATCAGTCACCTTTGTCCAGAACGAGGTGAGAGCCCATTGAGACAATTGGGCTCTGCTGTGTAATAAGGAAGGCGTGTATTGCACATGTTTTGTGCATCCTTTGATGGTGCAATAACGTGAATAAGTGCATCCTGTGGGGAACTTGTTTCGTGAGAAGCCCTATACATAAAACGGTGACGACACTGGTGATGATGTTGGGTATATTGACGATGACCATTCCATTCTTGCTGCCTCCGTAGTCTGGAACTGCCTCCCCCCAATCCATCCGCGCTATCGAACTCCCTTGCACAATTTTCATCAGCCTATGACAAACACTGCCTATGTCAATACACTGTCACCTCCCCCCCCACCATGTCTGTACAACGTGTTAAAACTTAAATTACATTGATACGCGGCATACATCCTCACTGTATTGTACGATGATGGTGTCGACGATGATGATGATGATAATAATAATGACGCTACGTTTTTAAAACACCAAGCGAGGAAACCTCAAACAAAATGCCGATGTAGAAGAGAAGTTATTATCCACGTGCTATAATCACCATTCTCCCCCGCTCTCTCTCGCTGTCTACTTGGTATCTTTAGATTCGAGTGGGGCGTGCGTGTGTGTGTGTCTCTTCTCTTTCATACTCAAGCAAGGTCATTCAAAACAAAAGTGTGCGCCGAGAGCGAGAGGGAGGGAGCCGCTGGGCGCCTTCATGAATTTATGAATGAGAGGCGCCACGTGACCCTAGGCCACTGTAAAAAGCACTCAAAGGCGACCACCGCCTTTTGTGATGGTGGCAGATTAGTGTACAAACACACACACACATATCATCATCATCACCACAAGAGCACGTCCGCACCACGTCCGATGGTGTTAATCGGTGCGGGTTTAGGAATTTAACAAATAAAATTAACAAAACGACAACGGAGGAATCTCGCACGCCCGCGCTCGGATAGCGCAGGCCCCTCTGCGCCCCCCCCCCCCAACTCGGCATTCACAATTAAAATAAAACAATCCACGCGTCTTGTAACGTCGTGTGCCATTGTTACACCGTCCCCTTGCCTCGTCTTATAGCGTGCTTCGGTTATCACCATCGTTATCATAGTCGTCATCATCGTCGTCGTCGTCGGAAAGAGATAACCGGCCACACATTAACGCCCCACTGCCACGGCGCATTGTACGACGGGTTAATTATTAGATTGTTTCACAGGAGGCCTGGTGGGTGGGTGGTGATGGTGATGGTGGTGGTGGCGGTGGCTTTTTTGTGAATGAACGTCCCCGCGTGCGAATGGAGGCGAACCAAAAACGAAACACGCCCCGGTTAAACACACACACACACACGCCACACCAAGCCGGCACAAACCTCATCATCCTCCTCCTCAACACCCACTTGCCACCAACCCCGCTTCACACCACCAACCTTGCTCCAGCAGATCAAACAACAACAACAACAGCCCAGACGAGCTGTCACCGACCCCACCGCTCAACATTCAAAGCGGCCGAACACACGAATTGGTTACACCGCGCACTGTACGCGCACTGTACCGTCAATGCAAATCTCCTCACCACCACCACCGCCGCCGCCGCATAGACTCACAAACAAACCACACAACACCGCGAGAGAAACGCGGTCGATAAAACAGGTACTAAAGAGTGTGGTGTTTACTCACTCGTCTGCGCTGCAATCCTCGCTCATGGTTTACGACTCTCCGCTCTGGGCACCATCTGCTGCTGAGGCTCTCACATGGTCCGTGCATGTGAACGATTACTCCCCTCGGCTCGAGCCTTGCCTTGCTTGCTGCTTGCTTGCTGCTGCTACGAATAATGTATAATACGTGGAAGGCGATTAGTTAATTGGGGCGATGTGTGAAAGCAGTGTTAGAGATGTCCCGAAAGGCACGCACGCACACGCACGCACGCACACGCCACCGACAACCCAACAAAAAGTGTGTGTAAAGAAACAACAAAGAAGATGATTTAGGACGGCCACGGGCAAGGACGTCGCCGAGTAAATAAGAATAAGAAGGGATGTTTGATATGAAGAGGGGAAAAAAGTTTGAAAAACTCGCTTAACTAACGACGGGAGTAATAAATATAAAAGAAATAAAAGTGGAGCGTGCGCAGCGCGGGTTGGGTTTTAGTGAAGCGCGTCGCGGAGCGCTCTCCGGGCGAGAGGAAGTGATGCGGTCGCCCCTGCACCCCCCCCACCCACCAGCCCCCAGTCAACCCAAGCACTCACCCCTGGCGTGCGCCGCGATTGGAAAATAGGTCGTTTCATAAAAAAAAAACCCTTTGTTATCTATCGAATAAGGGCTTCCCACCACGCCGTGTCGCCTCGTGGGGCTTATATGTGGCCATACTTCAGCACGTTGGTCAGTGCGGATCGGATGCATATACGCGGTGACATAGAAGTACAGCACAACGCGATGTGTTGCAACGCCCTCTGCTGCCCATCACGCAGCCCTGCATCGACTCACATTGTGTGCCGCGTTTAAAACGGAGAACGTGCCTGCGGAATGTCCCGACGGTTCAAGGCTCCCTCCCTTCCTAAGGTTCGAATTTTTCCTTCCCAACACGTTAGCCGGAATTGTTTTCCACTTTGCTCAAAACTGTGTTCAACTCTCAACTCTTGAAAGACTCATGCTGCCACCAGTTTGGACACGTCTTTTTAAAATTATTATCATAGACCCCCCACATGATTAGGTCCACGGTCATAAATTGTACATAGGGGCCGTCCATAAATGACGTCACGCGATTTTGGACGATTTTTGACCCTCCCCCTTCGTCACACGGCGTCACAAAAAGTCAGACCCCCCACCCCTCAAATATGACGTCACAAAGCTCTGCCCCCCCCCCAAAAAAAATGTTTCAAATCGCTTTAAACTATTGTCATTGTAGTGCGTATTTAATGAGGCGCTGCACTCTGATGTTGTAGGAAAAAACATTTATTAAAAAGTCTAATTAAGTAGAACGCGTTGTCTATTTTTATTTAAAGTTGCGCATTTTGATGTGACGTCACATTTCTCACCCCCCCCCCCACCCTATCGTCACACATCGTCACAAATGTATGACCCCCCCTCCCCCCTAGGTGCGTGACATCATTTATGGACGGCCCCATATGTCATCGTTGATACCATGGGTCCTGTTGCTTTGGTCAGAATGGGCCCCGACTAGACTATGAATAAAACATACTTGTGCCATGACCGACTGAAGTATTCTTATCATGCACGTGTCATGTATATGTAAACAAAAAAAAACAACTACATGCATCGTTCCAAGTTTAACACAACTTTTCATCATACTAAATGCAGCATTGCAACATGTACAGCGTACCTTGTACACTGTATGTAAACAGACTGCAAACTTCTGCTTAACCATCTTGAAAAGGCGTCAGTGGCCAGCTACATTAAACGCATTAAGATATGTTTTATAACACGGTATTCATTATGGTCTTTTTTTTAAACAATGTATGTTTGATTTTAAATACATCATGTTCCGCTTTATCATGCACAACCACGCTCATATAAGCCCCAAGGTCAGATGGTAAAACAGTGGGCAGCATAAGAGAAGTGAAACCAGTTGCTTGAATACAATTCGTGGACTATTCACTCACATATTTACACAGAACCATGAAATAGACTACGTCAATAATGAAATGATACTCCAATAATTCCTCCTATTAAAATGGGGATAACAATTCGCGTGATTAATTGCAGACCAATTCAACTCAGCGCACATCTATATCAATTGCACACGAAGAATATTTAGAAGCCAAGAAACCACGTGAGAAAGCCACGTTTAAGAAATAGTTCTCTACCACTAATCACACAATACCACGAATAAGACCGTTAAAATATGGAGTGATTATCTAATGCATCATGCCTATCCTTTTTAGATTATGACAATGCATTCGACACAGTAAATCTAATAACAATAAATTTCATGGAATCAAACATGTCGACGGTACTGAACTGTGTTTAAAAAGTAAAAATAGCAACAAACGTTCCGTATGATTTTCTTTATCAGAATCAGAATATGTATTTATACTGGAGGAATCCGATGAGCTATAAAGCCTTTTTCCACAGATGTCCAGTAGGGGCGAGTAAGACCGTTACAACGTCAAACCGGTACAAAAACATGATAGTAGTGAAAAGTACAAGAAAGGTAAACAAATCGCCCAAACGCATACAAAAAAAACGAAACCATCCCCATCCTACTTAGGCAAAGCCCACTCAAGTATCAACTTATCTTTCAAAAGCGACTTGGCCACAAATGATAGCTCAACAAAGTGGCCCATCAATTGGACATTTATAGCACCAAAATAATCTCCAAGGCGGCTTGACATGGGCAAAATAGGAAAAGTCCGCTGAAGGTGTGTTAATCAACCAGCCAGTGAAACAATACTGTGCAATCAAATGTCACCACGATTTAAAAAAGAAGTGTTCTCGGTTGGTGGTCCAAGATTGGGTTGGAAATTCCACATTCGTATGGTGGCGAGGTAGGCTATCTAGTAAAACCATCAACTTTTGACAGAAGACGTCAACAGTGGAAACATTAAATATATATATAAACGTATGCATTGTAAAGACAGGTTTAAGTAAACTTCCTGGAGTTATTCATATTTACTGTCATACTGTATTATTGTGCATGCAATGAGAAAATTGTAACGTGGTTGTCACATTATATACATGCCAGACATGATGGGATTCGTGCCTTCCAACTGTTTGTGAGCACACTTTTGTTGTTAATACTATCATTCATAACCTACTTGTTGAATGAATGTAACTGAATTTGGTTTTATAACGTACAAGCCAACCATGTACGGTATACACAGGCAGTATAAACGCTTACAATATACTCCAATGCAACTTTTCTAAAACGTTTATTTTTAAGTGAAATTACAAACTTTAATCATTATCTCTAGCTTATAAAAATAGTAAAGGAGTGAGTGAGAGGGGGGTGGTCCTAATGATGAGTGTTAAGGGTTTATTGTTTATAATGTCTGCAAATTATATGCAAATAACCTTTGACCAAATCAGAAACTACGCAGAGTTGAGCTGCCATAGGCGACCAGCATCCACAACAGATGTCCTGGTTACAGGCTGCGGAACTACGCCGCATATATATCGTTGTTGTACTGAACTTCTATGGTCCCCACTTCTACGTGTTCGCGCCTTCTCCAAAACGAACTGACCAGTGTCGTGGAGTGTGGGCACACATCCAGCAGTGGCATGTCACGCAAAATGACGTGGCGACGTGACATTTGGGCTCACCGAGTGAACGAAGCTGAGCATTAGCGAGGGGACAAATGAGAAGCAACGCAAAGGTCAAATAAAATACCGTGCAGCACTGTCCACGATTGTATGCTAAGTAGGGAGACACCTACCGCAGATGCGAGGGTAGTAGAAAATCTGGCCCCAACTGGTCATGGGTGAGCAGATTTATGGGTAGAAATCATTTGCACCTCATGCTATGGGGGGGGGGGGGGGGGCACAGTGAGTTTTAATTTGCCCTGCTGCTCGTGTTGTGCAACAACCGACGAGTCGGTAAAAAAAACCGGATCTGCTGTTGAATACAAATCCAAGCCTCGAAGCACCAAATTGCTAAACGGTGCCTTGTGAGGGCTATGCCTGGGGTCAGGTAACGGGTCTGGTTTTTGTTGTAATATCTGAATACCGAACATCAGCAAAATCAAACTACAATGCGTCGTCGCATATTCGACTGTCACGTATCCGTCATGAACAATTAACCGCTCACGCCCAGCGAAGTCTTGTAAACGTAATGTTTCCATAATCCTTACCTTTTCGTTCAAGGTAATGTCGGTTCTAAATCCCACGAATCCACGCGTACGTCTGACCCCAACCCCCCATCTAAGGCACGGCAAAGCGCGTTCCATGTCTAAAGCAGTTTGACATGTATTAATTTTCTTTTGACCAGTCACCTCTTTTTTGTGTGTTTTTGTTGCGTGCTTGAATTGTTATTTTACCAGAAGATGTTCACGTATCCGACATGCTCACATATCCGCATATGCGACGTTTTACTCTGCTGTATTGATATTCACAGACACCTGTGTAATAATACTCGATAAGAAATAGAACTTTTCTTTTATATTACCCGTTGCATTGAATTAAACAAATACTAATAACCACTCATTGTTTATTCCCAAGTACAACGCAACATTGCAGCACGGGTGCTTCATGATGACACGTGGTTCGGCTTTCAAACACTGCACTGTAACTGCGTTCAGCAAAGTGATAGGTGCTGAGGTGGGGTGATTTTTTTCTGTAAGTGAAAAGAAAACTTTCCCCGAAGAGTATATTCTGCGTCCTGTCGTTCTGGTATGCAAGCCTTGTCAAACTCGCTCCGTTTCCCATGACACACACACACACACTCTCTGACCACGTGGTATACCGGGCTTCGCAACGTTGAGTCCACGGGGTACACTGCTAGTCAGAATCAGAATAATGATTTTATACTTCAGGAAATCCGGTGAGCTATGAAGCTCTTCCCCCCCCCCCCCCCACACACACAGACGTCCAGTAAAGGGGCAGGTCAGAAAGTTACTACAACAATAATACAAAAAACAGATATGAGTGCACAGTATAGGAAAGATAAGCGAGTCATTATAGATAAATACATAAGAATAAAGTAGAAAGGACACGTTGCAAACGTATATCAATTTTGTCAGGACTCATCCCTCATATGTGAACATCATCATCATCATTATAATAGTTTCTCATTCAACTTCATATCTTTTCGCAATTTGAACCATTGTAGAAGTCTCCTGCTTAATACGTTTTTTGGCATGAAAATGCGTTAAAGTTGGCTATTACTGAACCCTTGATTATTGATGATAATCATCATTATCAACACGCTTATTGTAGCCGTCAGCAGGTGAACTGAAGCCATGCATAACTACAGTTGTCCAAAACCCTTGTTTATGTTTTGATGAATACATTTGTGGTCGATCCTGGGTCAAGACGAGTAACTGTGTGCGAATTGTTATCAGTCTTTTTTTTTTACCCAGGACGTCCTGGTGAGTTCCAAGACTCTTTTGCACAAGGGTGGTGCGTTGGGATGTTTGGCAAACGCCAGTCACGAGCGTTTGGCTTGAGGGAGGAAGCTGGAATACCTAGGAAACAGTCCCACACAT